CTTCAACTTCACCAGGTGAGATTTAAGAAGGATAACTATTTAAAACTATTAACTAAAACAATTGGGATGGACGAGAAATAGAAAATTAAACATAGTTATAAAAATCATTAAGGAGTATCGAAAACGAAAAAATATTGTACATAATTTATAATCAATAATAATTGACGAATAAGAAAAACTGATACACAAACAATATTAGTGCTGACACTGAGTGCAATTATCTATTCGGATTCAAAAATGTCTCTGAATCAGTGGCGTGCGGTGACATTTTTCGCGGCGCATTCAGCATTTTGTCAAAATCTTGCTTTTTATCTCAGTACTAAGGACATTCGAGATTGAGAGTTTTAAAGTGTTACTATTACTTTATTACCTAGTTTAGTACTAAAAGCTATAAAAAAATTTACCACTGAAAAGTTTCCTTGGTTTATTTAAACGTTTAACTGAAGGTTTTTTTATTTTCTCCAGCATTTTTCGCACACTTGACATAACAGTTGACATTTATTTATACTTAAGATCTATTCGCCTATCCTCAATGGCTGCAAATTTGTCTATAACATCGTCTTAAAATTTTGGATTTTCTGATAACTGTTTAATAAGCTGTTTTTCAATGGATATCAGGGCTAAATTGGAGAGTCTCTCTTCACTTGTTGAATTTCGTATAAAACTTGTAATGCGTTTTAAAGATGAAAAACTTTGCTCCACTAACGCACTTGTGGCTGGCATGGTTAGTACTAATTCACACAACTTGACGACTTCACAAAGGGACTTATTTAAACCAGTTGTTATAAGAAAATTTAACACATTGATGGGCGTCTTTTTATCACTAATTTTAGTTGTTTCATAAACAACACTTAACTGGGACTTTAATGATGGAATATCGAAGAACTTCCATAATTTAATTTTAGTGAATTAAAAGCTTCCGATGGAAATTTTGATGAATCGTAGTTACTAATATTAAAACTGCACAATTCAACAAATTTTAATTTGTTAAAGTTTTGAAATCGAGAGTTCATTTGTTGTAGAATTATTTTTAAATGATTGTCCAAACTATGTTTAATGCGATAGGTCCCGAATGTTTTTTATTTAATTGTAGCACTTATATGAGATTTGCTATTTATGTCGTTTTATACTTTTGTGAAAATTATTCAAGTCTGTAATACCGACTGAGTTCCAATGTGTTTTTTGACTACATTAAAAAGTAGGCAAGGCCAGCAAAACAATTTCTTCAAAGTTTTGCAGCCGGTTAACCATTCATACTTTTCATAGAACCCTACGTGAAAATGCCTGGTACATTTCTTTGCTGATTTTTCTACTTTCGTCTCTAAATTGATAGGATCCTTTAGTCTATTAGAATTAATAATGTCCATTTTCTCTTCAAAATTTCTACTTGAAAATCCTTTTTTCAATAAAGAGCACACAATACAGACACAATTTACCACATTATTATTGTTCACAGGTACAGTGCATAGTTCCTCCATTTTACAAAAAGAAAAACAAATACGAAAAATAAATCGAAATCTACCTAAAATCTAAGATAATCCTCACACGTCGATTCGCGGTGCGATTTGCAATATGCGAAAGGTGACGTAATAATCGCTGCCTTTTGACCGTATTTCACGTGTACAAACAGACTGACTACAGTCGCGGCAGAAAGCAGGGTCAATAACACTAAGCGAAATCACTTGCAAGATGAACCGGCTATTTCAAGACGCGCTTCCGCCGACGGACTCGAAGTATATAGTGTGTACGTTTACACAATTAATTTACGAAGTTTACGTAATGTTTCAGAGAAAATATATTACCTAATTTAATATTAATTTCTATGCATTGTAAACTGAAAAATATTTATTTTTAAATTTCAAAGTGTAGGGAAGCGGTGCTTCCCCCGCTTCCATGGACCGCGCGCCCCTGCTCTTATTATGTGGTTTTTGACAAGAATATTATTGAAATGATCAAATTATTTACAAATAGGATAAAAATGTAAAATTAAATAATATAATAAAATATTACCATCTTTGTGTTGTAAATTAGTAAATAACTTATCGTTTAGCACAGTATAGGTATACCAGCAGATTCACTCGTTCGAATATTTTCAGACGCGCAGTTCTTCGCGCAACTTTACTGGCCTATTGCCAGCCTATAGAGATTATTATAATAGGGGTATATTCCAAGTTATCTTGTGGTGTAAGAAATAAACCTGACAAAATTACTCAAATCTAAGATGACAATGACATTCTTTAGGCAGCGTTGCTGCAACCCAAAAAAGCACTAAAAAGAACGGAGAAAATATACTTACTGAATATAATTTCACGCTTTTTAATGCTCTAGCAGCCAGGAAAAAAGTCCATTTAGAATAAAAACGATGAGTGAACTGTGAGACTGTTGTTCACAAAGTGGCGATAGTTTTTTTGTCAGGAGTTGGGAAACATTTCTGAATTCTACATGTGTACCGAACCCGCATCGCTGTCGAGACGGTAGGTGCAGTGTAGCCCATTACTCTTTGAATTAAAAACTCCTATTGTCGTTGTTATTCGAAAATATAATATAGAATTAAGTAAAATTAAAAAAAAATATATATATTTAATTATTAGATAGCGGTCACGGTATTTAGAATTCTTTCAACCCTAACTCTTATATATTTAAAAAACTGATATTTCGGAAAGATCTACACAGTTTACATTTGAGATATCCAAACAATTCGATTATCATTTTTTAAAAGAACTTTTATATAACGCCATGTCAATTTTTGACCAGTGAGCTCTACTAAAATGATACGTTATTATGTTTATAATAGATAATTATTTTTTTCAGTTAATTGTATTTTAAGTTCCATAATTTTTTTTTCATTTTAAAAATATTGTACTTTAGAAATTGAGTTTAGTTTAGATTTAAATAACGTTAATTAATTCTTAAATAAATTGTGTTTTAAATTTCATATTTCTTTTGCATATTGTAAATATTAATACTCTTTTATTTTTATGCTGTGGTGATTAGCTTCTAAATAGTGCTTCAGTTTGGAAGCATACACTTCGCTGCCAAAATTTTCATACACAATACACATTGTGGTCTTTCTTCACCATTAATTTCGGTTGACCAACCAAGCCCCAAATAACTGTCATTATATTTACAATCTTCACAATCATGACAGTGGTTGAAGACGTTCTCTCTATATCTGCACTATTACGTTTATAACTCTCCATCATCAAAGATACAATAGCAAAAATCACAAAACTATTTATCAAAGACAAGAAACAAGAATATACCACTAACTATACTTTATGAACTAATTTATACCACTGTTTATTTTCAATCGACTGACTGAATCAAGCTGGAAATGTTTCTTATATGCTTTATGAAAGATCCTTTAGAACACTCCAAGGATCTACGCACTTCGACGTGTCTAGCCGGAGTCGCCGCGAAAGAAGAGAAAAGTGACTTTTTTCTCTCTTCACGGCGTTCTTAGTCTAGTACTTTCTCAAGGATATTTTGCGCCTATGCCTTTACTTTTATACAGGGTCAAAACAAACAAAAAATCTAGATATTTTTAGACTCTCACTTTGTATATTGTTAATTAATTAAGAAGCTTTCACAATAAAACATTAGGTTTTATATACATATATTATTTGATTAAATTATATACCTGGTTT